CCAACTCTCTTCTTCTCTGTCTTTATTAAGTCCAACTACACACGTCCAGAAAAGTGGACACTTCCACACAAAAACAGACTTTTTTTAAAACTTTATTTTTAACCAGTCCATTCCAAAACTCTGGGGAGATCCACAGATTTCAAAGCTGAGAGGAGCAGCGATAAGGAGAGATCGCTGGAGGTGAGATTTTGGTGTGATGAAGTCTTGACTGCCACTCTGGAGCTTATTGATTTGCCTCGATGTAAGAGGCAAAGACAGCAGCCATTTTTTAGCTGTTGATTGTTTGTTTTTTTCCGATGGAGTGAAACTACTCTGTTGATTCACATTTCACGTCAAACGACAGGGAACCTTCTAACAATGGAGACGAGTACCACGACTCAGATGGTAACAAAAAAAAAAGAACTTTAATTTTAATGTTTTGTTTTTTTTTTATCGTTTTGTTTCTTTGCTTGGTGTGTCCTTCGTGTATAGAGGTCTGCTTGGAGCAAAAAGCGGTGATAAGGGAGAGAAAAACAAAGTGGTCCAATTTATGTGACTTTTATTTTTTTATTATCAGATACTTTTCATATCGGGTTTCCGGACATGGAAATGGACGAGGAAGACAAATAACACAAGTCAAAAGAAACAGAAGCTATAATTTCTGCTGTATGATGAAACTTCACCTTTTGCATACAAAGTCAATGTTTTAAGAAAAAAGTTAAATGTTTGACACAATGTCCGTGTATACCGTAGGTAGCATGTACAGACAGAGGAGCGTGATTAGGACATTAGCCCTATGTACAGTATTGTCATAAGGCACAAATGCACTGGAAACGTCAGTTGTTTGTGTTGTCGATACGGTCATCATTTTCGACTTGGGTTCAAGTGGACATCAGAATAGTTTTACATTTCTGCTCTGACGGGGTTCGGAGCATCAACGGAGGGGTCAAAAAAGATCATTTTTGTGAATTTTTCATGTGCTTCAGTGACCACTGCCCTAGTTTCAGGTAAAGGGAGTTGATATGTTTTTTAATGGAAGTCAGCATGATGTAACAACTGCCTTCAACTGGCAAGTTAAAGGAATAGAACAGGAAATACATTTATCACTGTCCGTTCAATACAGCCAGCAGCTGGTTAGCTTAGCTTAGCATAAAGACTGGAAACAGAGGAAAACTAACCTTGCTATTTCCAAATGTAACAAAATCCACCTTACAGCCTCTCTAAAACCTTTCTCATTAACATGTTATATCCCATTGGTTTAATTTGTACACAAAACAACATGTAAACACATTAGTTTTACTGTGCGGGCTATTTTTGTAATCACCATAAGCTTTCCAGGCAACCAGCAGAGACTGGCTGAGAGAAATTCTAGCTAAGGATTAGTCACTTTGGTTTTTGTACAGATTAAACAAATGAGATACAGCGTGTTTATTGGGGAGCTTTAGAGCTGCTGGTAGGCAAATGTTGTTACATTTGGACAGCCATGCTGGCTGTTTAGTCTTTATGCTAACCTAAGCTAAGCTAACAGACTGCTGTCTTTAACTTCATATGTACTCAACAGACTGAGCTGTATCAATCTTCTCATCTAACTTACTGCAAGAAAGTGCATTCCCAAAGTAAAGTCTTACTATTCCTTCAAAATTGTTATTTAAATTACGTGTAAAGTTGTGCAACCATATAGATGAAATATAAAAGCGTGTAGACCAGTTGGTCTAAAGAATGGCCTCCAACCATAAAAACAGACCAGGCCATGGAAGAGAAAACTTTTAACACTCCCCCTTTGCTGCTGACTTCTGTGCCATCATGGCAGAGTCAAATTCAGAGCATCAGTCATCGCTTCCAGTGTTTTTGCGCCTCAGATGTTCACCAGGAGAACTAGAATATAGACACTTTATTAAACTACTAGTGGGAGGAGGAGATAGACTTTTTCTAATTACTACTATCACCATAGTAAACCATTCCAAATGTACGCAAGTACCAGCCAAACTCAGTGTGTAGAGTAGACGTCGGCCCCGTTCACTGTGTAAATATCCAACGGGGTGGCTCGTTCCTCGCAAGTAGCGTGTGGCGTTTCAACACCAAGGTTCGCAATACAGACACTCCCGCGCTCTGTGCACAAGCCAGTCTTTTTCAACCTTGTGTGTCTTTTTGTCTACTGCTCTGTAGATACACATGGACAAACAACAACAGATTAGTGGGGTACACAATTAGATTCCCATTGATCCAAATGGTCACAACAAGTTGCTGTTATTCAGCAGTAGTTGCAGAAGTAAGGAATGTTGTTCGTATACATTGTGGTTCCAATCTGTTGCCTTCATCATTGGAAACATGACTGTTGACATTTTAAAGTCTCAGAAACAGTACGCGAGATAGCAAAGTTCAGAAATAAATAGTGGACATTATACCATGAAAATGTACACTGTGCTTATGAGGACTAGGACTTATGAGGACGCACTAGGTTAAGTGCTGTGTTTAGCACTACTAAAGACAAACAAACTCCCAGGAGTCTAGTTTGTGTACTGTAAAGTTAGTTTGGATCCTTTATTTGTTTTTAGTATCAACCAAGGATGAAGGCAGCATATTAGAACCTACACCTGACCTTTTTACACAGTCTGTCAGGATTTTCTCCTAAGATGCAAGTAACTAACTACTAATTGAGGCAATTCAAAAAGATCCTAACTATTTATGGACAATATCTGAATATTGATTTTGTATATCTTTTCGCCTGTCCTGATGTTAGCCTTGTCGACGTTTACATATCTGATTGCCTCCGCCGTCAGCAGACTGTTGAGCGATGGAAACTTTGTAACGTTAACACAGGTATAAAGAAAAACTGGTAGCATCGTCGGGAGCCAGCTGTGACCCCCGTAAAGTTACCCGGCTGGCCCGTGTGTATCTGTACGTGTATTTTTGTGTAT